GTTCAAAATCAATTATGAATTATTGTTAGAAATAGGAATAGAAAAGATTTTTGTAATGATTGAGTGATAATTTATTAAATACTAATTATTTTTTATAATATAACAAACGATTTAGAGAGAAATTAATTTATTTGTTAGAAATGAATTTTTGAAAAGGAGTTGAATGAGTCTTATATAGACACATATATGATAGTAATTTCATTTATATATATATATATAAAATACAAATATATATAAGTATATATTAAAAATTTTGATGGTCAAAACTATATTTATTTGAGAGTAAATTGGATATCTAATTATTTATTTTAACTGTAGAAAACAATCGTAATTTTTTATTTTTACTTCGAATTTTTTATTAATTTAAAAAAATATAAAATATACTTATTCATTTTTCTCATTTTTGGATTAATTAACGCAATACAAAATATGTTCAATTATATTCATTTCTTTGTGAATCACTCTTCTGAAAATTAGAAAACAAACATAAAATAATGAAATAATAAAATTATATTTGTTATATATATTTTCTAAAAATGAAAATTTTCTAATTCTCGTCTAAATTTGTTTTCTCAGCAAAATACAAAATATATTTGCTAGAAATATATAATTCCATCAAGTATGTTACTTATTTTCGTTATAAATAACTAATATTTTGATAAATTGAGTAATTAGAGTGGTTAATAAAATAAAAATTTCATTGCGTACAGAAAAAGCAATGTTAAGATTTATTACGTTTTTTATTAAATTTGAAACGTATAATTAAAATAATAATTTACTATCGAAAGTTCATTATTTCCGGTGAATGTGACTTTATTTTATATTTTGATTAATATTTCATTTATTTTTAAAAAAAAATTTATACGGAAAAACATTATTAATATAGAAATATAATTATTAGTCGATTCTTTAAAAAAATATCTAAATGCCAAAAAAAAAAAAAAATCTCTGATTTATTCAGAAATTTTCAAATTATTATTAAATGGATCATATATTTCTATTTTAATATTCTAATGCAATAGATTATTATTTAATATTTTATAATTAAATAACAATTAATCAATTAAATAAAATAGTTAGAAATACGAAATAAATATAAAAATTAACGATTGATTATACAACTATATTTCAAATACTATTTTACTCAAGATATTCATCAATAAGATGGTTCATCAACACAAAAGAAGTACTTTTTTGTTTTATGAAATTTTATTAAAGTAGTTTCAGTACACCAATCTCAAATATGTTTTTGGCTAATCGAAAACGAAAACTTCGTTTTTTTTATTCGTTATAATGTAATGACGTAATTTAAACATCCGATAATTAAAGAAAGATGTGAGATCGAGAAGAAGAGAATTCAAGAAAATTCCAAAATTTTTAGAATCATTTTAATGATTTTCTGAAATCGATTTAAGAAATAAATACATAAGAAATAATAAAAATTCGTGAATTCTCTGCTCATAGCAATTTTTACTAAAAGTGAAACTCAAACGAAAACGAGATATATCTTAAAATGGTTAATAAAATGTTAAGTATGAAGGTTTTCAAATATTTCTTTGTAGGGACATTTCTTTTTTTATTAGGATATGAGATATTTTATCAAAAATCTTTATACTGATGTCAAAAAGATAAGAATAATAAATAGAGAATATATTGTAGATTTAAAAATTAATTTTTTTTTCTATTCAAAATATTTTCAGTGTTAAATTATTATTTTATTTTGTTTTAATTTTATTTTTCACTTTATTTTTATTAAAGAACTAAATGATAATTATGTGCAAATGTAATTCATGATTAATGCATTTATGACTAACTGTGAAATTCGTTTTATGTAAATTTAGGTTTATATGATAAATAATATGATTTTATTCCTTTGTAAGCATATATAATGCATGTTATAATATCTATATAATATATCTATTATATCTAATTATGATAT